AGTACCTTGGCTAGTGTTAGGGGATTTTAATGCATTGTTGTGTTCAATGGATAGACTGCTTGGGAATACAGTCCATCAGGCTGATATACAAGATTTTGCTGAATGCATTCAAACAACCAACCTGAGTGAACTATCATGGAGAGGTGACTACTACACTTGGACAAACAAGCAACAAGTGGAGGATAGAAATTTTTAGTCGAATTGACAGAGCATTTGGCAATTATGAATGGATGATGAAATGCGGCAATATAATAATGGAGTATGGTCTGCCAGGGATATCTAATCATGATCCAATGTTTCTTCTTATGGAATCTGATCAGTTAACCATAAAAAGTCCATTTAGATTCTTCAATGTCTGGGAAGATCATCAAGAGTTTGAACAAATGGTAATAGACACTTCGAAACAAATAAGTGATCCCTGGGCCATGAGATGCATATGGAAAAAACTGAAAGCACTTAGACCAAGACTAAGGCAGCTGAACAACAATGAATTTAGAGGTGTGACTCAGAAGATAGAGGATGAAAGGAATGAACTTATGGCAATTCAAAGCAACCTACAGCAGATATATAATGAAGATATGCTGGAACAAGAAAAGACTACACTACAGAACCTGGAAAAGTGGTCAATGATCGAAGAAAGCATTTTGAAGCAGATAGCTAGAGCTAAATGGATACAATTAGGAGATGCAAACACAAAGTATTTCTCAGCTGTAATGAAGGAAAGAACTCAAAAAAAAATAGATAAGAGAGCTGACAACTCTAGATGGAAGGAAGATTAATGAGCCTAAAGAGATCAAAGAAGAGGCCATCAAGTTTTACAAGAGTTTAATGGGAACAACTGCAGGAAGCCTTCCAGCAGTAAGCTGAGCTATAATGAAAAAAGGCCAAATGCTAAATCAACAACAAAGACTGATGCTATGTGCAGAGGTGACAGAGAAGGAAATAAAATCTGGACTGAAAGCCATAGCGGATGACAAAGCTCCAGGAGTATATGGATATAATGATGTCTTCTTCAGAAAAACATGGCACGTCATTGGTGAAGAGGTGACTAAAGCAGTGAGGGAGTTTTTCTCAACTAGAAGAATGTATAGAGCCATTAATTGTACAACCATTACCCTGATCCCAAAGACTAATAATCCAACAACAATCAAAGAGCATAGGCCAATAGCAAGGCTACAAAAAGTATTTGACAACATCATTTGTATATCTCAGGCTGGCTTTATTCCAGGGAGAAAAATAGGAGATAACATCATCATGGCCCATGATTAATCAAAGCTTATACAAGGAAACATGTGTCACCAAGATGTATGATCAAAATAGACCTCCAGAAGGCCTATGACTCGGTTGAATGGAGCTATTTAGAATAAATTATGAATCTACTGGGGTTCCATGGTAAGTTCATAGCATGGGTGATGGAATGTGTAAAGACTATGAACTATACTATAATGGTGAATGGTGAACCAACAGACCCTTTAATGCTGCAAAGGGACTCAGGCAAGGAGATCCTATATCTCCCTTCATGTTTGCAATTGTAATGGAATATCTGAGTCGCAACTTAAAGGTGATGACTAAGAAGAAAACATTTTATTATCACCCTAGGTGTGCAAAGTTCGAAATAACCCATCTATGTTTTGCTGACGACCAGCTGATATTCTCAAGAGGACATTTCTTCAATAACAGAAGTACAACATAGTTTCAACCAGTTCTCAAAGGCATCAGGTTTACAAGCAAATTTAGGAAAGAGCTCCATTTATTTTGGAAGTGTACCACAGGTTGAACAAGAGTTGATACTGAGCCAACTGGGTTCACAAAAGGGGCACTACCATTCAAGTATTTGGGAGTTCCTCTATCTACAAAGAAGCTGACACTAATACAATGGCAACCCCTCATTGAGAAAATAGTGGCAAGAATTACATCATGGATAACAAAAAAACTGTCATATGCAGGAAGAGCTAAACTGATAAAAAGTGTACTATTTGGGGTTCAATCCTATTGGGCACAATTGTTTGCACTACCAGCAAAGGTGATGAAAACAGTGGAAGGGTTCTGCAGGAGCTACTTATGAACATGCAACAATGTAATAACAAGGAAAGCATTGGTCACCTAAATCTGTTCTCCAAAAAGTAGTGGAGGATGAAATATGATAAACTTAAGACTATGGAACAAGGCAGCTATAATAAAGTTGTACTGGGATCTTGGAAGCAAAAAAGACATGCTTTGGATAAGGTGGATACATACATACTATATAAAAGGACAACAGATGGATCATATAATAGTGCCAAAACAAGCAAGCTGGATGGTGAGGAAAATCCTGGAAGCAAAGAATATCCTAGAGCTGGAAAGCATACATGTTTGCACAGGAAAGAGTGTCATTAATCAAATCTATCTACATTTGCTGGGAGAACAATTCCATGGAAGTGTATGATGTTTGGAAATGTTGGAAGATCAAAAGCTCGATTTACTCTTTGGCTACAAATGCAGAATAGACTGCTAACATCAAATAGACTGAATAGATGGGGTATGGAGGTAGAGAGCAAGTGCAACCTATGTCACCAAGCAGAGGAATCTAGAGATCATCTCTATGTGGAATGTGACTACATGAAGGCAGTGATGAACAAGCTAATGCAATGGTCACATAGCCAAAACATAGCGTTAGGGGATTGGGAACAACGTGTGTATGAAGTGATCAGGAGAGCTAAGAGGAAATCACGAGAAGCCCAATTTTTCAAGATGTTATACACAAAGGCAGTACATTGCATATGGATTGAGAGAAACAAAAGAATATTTGAGAAGATAAGTATAGGATAGGAAAGAATAGCAAAGGAGATTGCATGTGTATGTTGTGCGCGAGCTCCTCCTAGAATAGCTGAAATATTACATAGATATAGATTCTAATAGGAAGTCTAGGAAGAGGTCTGAGATTCATTTGTAAATATGATAACTAGCTGAGTTAGCTAGCTACGGCTCTTTGTACAGTTATTTCTAGTGATTAATACAAAAAGTTAGTTACCAAATAAAAGGTATATTTATGTTTAAAAAGATTATTAATTGTGTACAAATATTAATTTAGAACCTAGTTACTAACACTTGAATTAATTATTCTAAACTTCAGAACCCATAAGATTGAGATTATGGGTAGAATTGTAAAAAAAAAAAAATTACTAGTATATTTATTATATCATGCATTGCTCAATTGAACACTATCCTTCATAAGGTAGGGGTAAGGTCTGCGTACACATTATCCTTTTCAAATCCCATATGTGCAGTTGCACTGAATTTGTTGTTGTTGTTGTTGTTGCTGCTCAATTCAACAGTAATCAGTCTTTCTAATCATTAACTAACTCCTAAATGAATCATAAACCAATATAATAGAAAAATTCACCACTAAAGGTTGTATTCGAGTGACAAGTATTCCTCTACCCTTATCAAATCTTTGGTATACGGCATGCTTTTGCCCCCCAAAGTTTGACTTTACAGTGCAAATCAAATTAAAATAGTCGGATACCGGATACCGGGTGCATAAAAAAAAAGACTAAACTTATGTTAGTTAAACCGAAATGTTTTTTCTGTTGGTTCCTTAAACAGATATTAAACATGTACTATAACAGCAATAATCATGTCTAGGGATGAATATAAGTTGGTTCTTGAACTGCAGATCTACAATACTGAATTTCTATCTGCAAAAATAAATAGTGGTAAAGATCATTGTTCAAAAAACTTGGGCCTGTCAGTTTTAGCTGTTATTCGGTTGTATGGGTCATATTGATTTTAAATCATATAGTACGAGATAAAACAATAATCTAATGTCTCTTATTAAGAAATTTTTATGTAATTAATCAATATCAAATTCTTGAAACTTTTTTCTAACTCGATGTAATATGTGTTGGTAATCTACGGAATACTTTGAAGCTTGAGGTGTGTTAAAAGCATTCTCTTTAGGACAATATAAAAACACATTCAACAAAATATAAAAACGTCACACTTAAGATACAATAAAAGAGATTCAATAATTTATATATATACAAAAAACTTTTACGTAGTACAATTTTTGGCAAAGGTGATTCAATTTGAACTTCCCTTCACGGAAACTAGCTCCGCCACTGCTTAAGAATCCAATATAAATAGATTTCCCATGATTCAACAATTTTTTCTAGTATAAACTAGCTAATATCAAAATTAATTAAGAATAACTTTACAAACGAAAAGGAAAGAGTTTTTCTGTTGCAAATTAATCACAGTCGTCATCTTCTTATTGATAAAGGGTACTGTCAAATATAAGTTTTTGCTAGTTGCATATATACAGCCACTTTATACAAACATCTTTTATTTCGATCATGCATCGCTTAATTAAGTCCGTCATCTATATATAATCATAATTTAATACTCCCTCTGTTCGACTTTGCATGACATAAGTCAAACTAACTAATTTGTGAATTCGAACATACAATCTCAAGTTTTTCAAAAGAAAACTTACATATTCTTGAATTACGTAAAAAGTCATCCACTATAAGTAGCATATCACTAGTTAACAATCCCCAAAAAAAAATGTTTGCAAAACAAACTGATCAAAAGAAAATTCCTACAATTCTCCAAATTATAACGGTGTGTCATATTATAAAATAAAACATTAGAAGTTCTTTCTTAATGCTTTATTTTTTATTTCTTATTACGCATTGTTTAATTTCACGCTTCCTAGTACATGGTCAATTTAAAAATAAAAACTAGAAAGCCATTGCAAGTTATTATTAATTGAATAAAATAATACCCGTGGCTTTTGTAATCCACAATGCACGTATGTTTCACGCTTCGTAGATAAAATAATACATGCTCAATTAAACAAAAGCCATGGATAGTTAATTGAATAAAAGAAGAGCCATTTTAACACTATATATATTTGCTCAAGCAATTACATTCTCACATAATTTCCAGGGACTCTTAACTATTATCTCTTCTCCTTTTCTTCATAGATACTCCACATTAAAGTACGTAAACTTATAGTAATGGGTATCTCAGCTTGTTTTGTTAGAGTTGTTGTTGTCGTCTTAATTGTTCTTCTTGTTAGTGATATAGAGCAGACATCTGGTATGGTTGGCAGGCGATTGCTTGGTGCAGGTGCAGGTTCCGGCGGCGGAAGTGGTGGTAGGGAATTGATTTCTGTCCGTGCAAGTTTCCGCAGTGCTATGCCGCCTACCCATGGAAGGTTCGGTGGTTGCGCTAATGCTACAAGTGTAGGTGTCGGTGTTAGTGCAGGTGCAGGTTCCGACGGTGGAAGTGGTGGTAGGGAATTAATTTCTGTCCGTGCAAGTTTCCGTAGTGCTATGCCGCCTACACGTGGAAGGTTTGGTAGTTCCGTTAATACTACAAGTGTAGGTATCGGTGTGCGTGCAGGTGGAAGTTTTGGTGGTTCCGATAATGCTACAAGTATAGGTGTCGGTGTTAGTGTAGGTGAAGGTTTCGGTGCTAATGCAGGTGTAAGTTCCAGTGCTGCTGGTATGGGTCAGAATTCGACCTCACGATAATTAACGAGGCTAATTCCGTTTTAAGTTAATTCATGATTAATTAATGGCACGACCACTCAGAATTGACGATGATCAACCCGCATCTGGTTCGATCGACAAGGCCATGGCCTACCCGCCACCATAAAGGCGAGATCCCCACGTGGTCACGGTCACTTATCGCCAGCTCACGAAGCCCACAGCTATAAATACCCAGAGAGAGAACCCTAGAAAGGGGGCTGCTTCTTCACCACTATGGACAAGAGAGAGAGAGAAGAGAAAAACATACCCATCTTATGGGAAGTGAAAACACCATTGTAAGGCTCTTAACCTCTTCATGGAGAGACAGACCAAACCAATATTATCAATAAAGGCTTTTAATGTTTCTCCCCCTAATCCTGAGTACTTATTTTCGTTTCTTTCATTTGGTCCAACGGATTATTACGATTTGCTATGATTTTTCCGTGATTCATATGTATTGTTTTATACTCATAAGATATGTAATAACTTTTGAGCAAACAATTTGGCGCCGTCTGTGGGGATTTCCTAGCAAAATCGCGTAGTTCTTCCCTGGACCAAAAGCAAAGAAGCGCCAAACTCGAAGGGGAACTCGAACATCTCAAATCAAGATCTAAGTCCCCTCTCTCTCTCCAATCTCAGATAGTGCAAACAAGAAGGGGCCCCATCCCTTCCTAAGGGAAAGTCTCTGTAAGGCACACGAGCTCCGGTCAGAAACCGGCACGGAGATATCTCGAGCCGAGAGTCGCCTCAGGACAGCCTATATACCCTGGTTGGGAAGACAACGGATAAGCCGCTCAAGGTCTCGAATCCAAAACGAGTTTCAGCACTCAATACCCACAATATCAGACTCAGGCTACGCGCCTTCGCCATCAAAATCAACCAAATTCAACAACACTTGAACTGGGACTCAGGTTATGTACCTTCTTCATCAAAATCGAAAAAGTTCAACTACGGTTGAACCAAGACAGGCTATGCGCCTTCACCAAAAAGTTCAACTACGGTTGAACCAAGACAGGCTATGCGCCTTCACCAAAAAGGTCAACTACGGTTGAACCAAGACAGGCTATGCGCCTTCACCAGCAAGTTCAACTACGGTTGAACCAAGACAGGCTATGCGCCTTCACCAATAAGTTCAACTACGGTTGAACCGGGACTCAGGCTACGTGCCTTCACCAAAAAGTTCAACTACGGTTGAACCAAGACAGGCTATGCGCCTTCACCAAAAAGTTCAACTACGGTTGAACCAAGACAGGCTATGCGCCTTCACCAAAAAGTTCAACTACGGTTGAACCAAGACAGGCTATGCGCCTTCACCAAAAAGTTCAACTACGGTTGAACCGGGACTCAAGCAATGTGCCTTCGCCACCAAATTTAACAAAGTCCAACCACGGTTGAACCAAGACTCGGGCTATGTGCCTTCGTCATTAAAACCAACGAGCTCGACCTCGCTCGAACTACAAGGAGGGACGCCTTCGTCCTCAACATTAGCAAGTTCAACCGCAGTTAAACCGAGACTCAGGCCGAACGCCTTCATCTGTGAAAGCAAAGCCGACCTCCAACAAATCGAAGCGCAGGATAGGCACCCTCGCCATTCAAGTAAGTTCTCCCAACTCGAATTAAGATTCGGGCCGCGTAAAGTTCGGCCCCGGTCAAACTACGAGGCCGCGTTTTTTACCATCACGACCGGTAGTTCGACCGCGTCCGAACTGGGACTAAGGCTAAGCGCCGCTATCGCCAAATAACGGCTAAGACTCGCCCGCACCGAGTTGAAAAAGCAAGGCCATCAATTATATTATGGCTAAGGCCATCACCACCAACGGTCGACCTAGATTCGACTGCGGTGGGTAAACGACCCGACGACAGTCGAAGTTGCCTTTATGGCTAAGGCCGTCGATTCTATCACGACTAAAGCCGTCGATCTAAATTCGACTAGGGCCGCAAACGCCGACGGTCAACAAAAAGCACAACAAAAACTCTAAAAAATGAAAGAAAAACAGTGACACAAAACAAGCACAAGGCAGGCCATGGAAAAGAAAATTTATATATTTACAGAGTCAATTGCGGGTCATCCCCGCTTACACCCGGCCAAGGCCGATCAATACAGGAAATAAAAAAAACAAGAAACACTTAAACGCCAAACGGCGAACAAGACAAGAAAAAATGCATAAACATCTTTTTACTCGGCGCCGTCTGCGCCACCGTCTACACCAGCGTCAGCCTCTGGCGTCGCCGCGTCAAAACCACAGTCGGCACGTGCCTCACGAGCCTTCTGACGCGCCCCCTCGAAAGCAGCTTCGGTCACGACGCCGGCCTCCCACAAACTCTTATATACATCACGGTTGGCCTCGGAAAAGACCCAAAGTTCTCGAGCCTGGCTGGAAGAAGCGGCTTGATCCCGTAGCCGCTGATTCTCTTCTTCTAAAGCTGTGATCTGGTCCGCCATGACCTGGGCGTCCTGCTCAAAGACCCCAATCCGCTCCTCGAGACTCGCTTCTCTAAAGGCCGCAGCATCCCTTTCCAATGCCCGTTGGGATTCGTGCACGCGGATAGCTTCCTTCAACGCCCCAGCCCTCGACGAGGCATCCCTCACTTGAAGCTTCAATGCCGCGACTTCACCCTCCAACGCGGTCACTTTCCCGCTCCATGCCGCAGCGGCCTCCGACGCCTTGGCCTCGCCCCGGCGCTCGCACTCAGCTGCGACCCTCTTTACCGCTTCGAACTCCTCATCCTTTCGGCGGAGCTGCTCCTCGAGAGCACTCGTCCTGCCAAGTATTTGCTGCATCTGAAGCTCCCGCCTCGCAAGCTCTTCGACCAAGGCCCGGCTGCGAGGATCATTCCTCAAGCGCACGCGCAACTCTCGGCACTGATCTCGGTAGCGGCGATACTTCTCCAGCGCCTGCAAAAATATCCCCGAGCGGACCTTGGCTCGACGGATGCTCTCCACCTCCAACAGATAAGACTGCAAAGCAAAGGCAACGATTAGAATAAACTTAAGGCAAAGAAGAAGCGAACCGACGTAATAGTACATACCCTCAGCCCATCACGGCTACTTCATTCATCAGTCTGACATCAGTAACGCCCCTCAACGACGCATTCTCGGCCTCCGAGCATAGCGGCTCGAACTGCGGCACCAAGCTTTCACCTTGGAGCAATAAGTTCAATTCCGAGGGAACCTGATGAAGCGAGATCGCCCCCCTGCGCGCACCGCTGAATTGGTGGAGCCTTCCTGGAACATACGGACGTCGTCAGGATCCAAGTCGGATTCAGACTCATCCTCACCCCCTACAGCATCTCTCCCCCCTTCAGCCGCCGGCGAAGTGGAACCTCCCGCCGCAACCGCCGAAGGAGCGCATGGCTCACTCACATTAGCAGCCGCTGAGGAACTACCTCCCGTCTCAGCGACTGGAACCACCAATTGAGTCGCCGAAGAAACGGTATCATCACGACCTGAACCAACCCGGGCAACCCCCATTGTTTGTCCGCCCTCAAGGGCAGGCGCCGCAGCCGCACTCCTCTCCGCGTCTGCCGGGGGGGAGTCCAAATTAATTACCACAGGAGGAGCCGGCGCAAACGCGACCCTACGCTTTATCAACGGCCTCTCCTTCTCCCCATCTGATGACGACTCCGCCCTAGGGCGCACAACCCCCGATGGCCCCTCATCCCGAAGCGCGGACCGCGCTGGAGAGGAAACCGCTGAAGATTCAACTGATGCCGCCCTCGGTATTGAGTGCGACACAGGCGCCGCAGTAAGACGAGCGACTGCACCCGGTCGACGAAAGGCCAACTGAGGGGCCCTGACGCGGCGCGCCCTCCCTGATCACAGGAAAACAAAGTTGATGAATAGAGTTGAAACAAAGCGAAACAGAAGAAGAAATCAATTTTTTACCTGCCACAGGCCTACGGCCATGCCTCTCCCAGAAAGACGTCCATGTGCGTATCCCCGCCGTATGGAGGAGTACGGCCTCGACCCACTCACGTATCCAAGATAATGGGGCCAGCGGCGACCTGTCGGCTACAAAAACAACACGAGTTAACGCTTGTGATCACAAATCATAAAGAGGGGAAGAAAAGGGAACTCAACCACTAAAGAACTTACGCGCATGGTTCCAAGCCTCTGGGAACCCAGTAGCATCCGCCACCAGGTGCTTGGTCCTGATATAAAAGAAGTGCTCGAAAGGGCGAGGTTCGACCTCGTCATCCAATCTCATGACCACGCCCCTCGACCCACGAGGGCACGCCTGAATCATGGTGCCACGGACTCTCTGGGAAGCGTAGAGACTCAGCACATGCTGCAGCGTGACCTCCCTACGGGCCAATTCCGCGTACTTGATGAACATTGCCAATAATTTGTAGAGGGAAGGAGTGAGATGACCCGGGAACACCCCGTAATAACGGCAGAAATCCACCACCAGCATTGGGAGCGGGATCTTGAACCCCAACCTGAAAGGATAGGCGTAAAAAACGCAGTATCCCCTGCGGTCGGTGTGGACCCTCTCCTCGCTTCTAGCAAGAATGATGTCTGCATGGGTGGGAATGGCCCCCTGTTCCCGTAATCGGGCCATCCCAATCTCCCCCATTAACGGGGCTTCATCCACCGGTTCCACTCCACCGTCGACAGTGAAATCAATCGCCGGACCTCCGGGCCGAGGAACTACCTCGTCAACCGACGGAACTTCTCCGGTCTCTATCTGTTCTGCACCTCCCATTGCCCGAGGTGGCCCTTCAACTACCGGAAAGTCTATCGGAAGAGCATCGTGGGAAGAACTACCTGTCATTATTGATCTACTAAAGACAAAGGTTATCACAATCAAAGGAAAGAAAGGAGAAGATGAATTTGCGAAACGAAAAAGTTTCCTCAGAATCTCTCTCAGATGAACAATGAAGATATGAGAAATGAATGCCTCAACCCACCTTTATAGGCAACATAAATGGCTTTCGCGAAACCCAATAGCCATCATTAACTGCACGACCAACCGTAAAACGGTTCGGTTCTGCCGAAGCAA